GGGTGGCGGGGGCGAACGAGGCGCAGAGCGGGTGCGGTACGCAGGGGCCTGTCTGGGGGAAGAGCATTTGCAGGCAGAGTACGTCGTTAAGCTTTCTTCTGTTGTGAGTTCGTGCAGGCATTGCAGGGACCGAGAACGGAGAGGCAGTAAGAGCTGCTACAGTGTTCCCCTTATGCACACTGAGATAGAGACATGGATTAGCAGTGCGGTAGCTTGTGTTCCTTTCTGTAGAAGCAACCGTCTTATAAAGAGGCTTTAAAAACTCCTTGTTGCTTGTTGTGATCATACCTTTTACCAGGGTTCCTCTGCTCGGCCCTTTCTCGACTGACATCAGACGAAGTGATTCGGATGCGTAATGAGCTCTTTACCAAAGAGAAAGAGAGACAGTTGTCTCTGTATCCACGAATTGAGAAAATCGAAGTAAAATACACTGGGAAATCTCACCCTGGCAGTGTGTTTGTAATGAACAAAGCTTTGTCTACTCCATACAACTGTGCCATGCGTAAGTGGATGGACTCTTAAACTAACTTTGTGCCACTGGTGATAAAAATTGCACTGCCAGCTGAAGTACCTGTCATCCAAATTTGAAACGTTAATATTATTGACATTCTAGTGACCAAGGTAACAGACACGCATTCAGAATATTTGTGGTTGGTACGTTTAAATTGCATTTGTACTAAAATACATCAGCAGAAACCAAGGTAACAGACGTATTCAGAATATTTGTAGTTGGTATGTTTAAAATGCATTTGTACTAAAATACAATGGCAGACACTGAGTTAATTTTTGGAGTCTCTATTAACAGCTCATCCTTCCAAGTCACTTACAAAAGTGAAGCTTGCAGTTTGTTTTGTACAAATGCAGGGGGCTAAAAACTGCTGACTCTGAGATATATGGTTAATAACTGTGTAATATGTTTTTATACACTTTTTTAGACTTAAGTGAATGGCATTGCAAGAAATCCGTTCTAGCTCTTGTGGATGGTGAAGTCTGGGATATGTATAGACCCTTGACCAAATCATGTGAAATTCAGTTCCTTACTTTCAAAGATGAACATCCAGAGGAAGTAAACAAGGTAAGTCTGTATCGTATCACATTGTAGGTGACCCTGATTTTCACCACTTGCTTCTGTATGCCCCTTTCAGTTCCATCAGTGCTTTCTTGAACTTTGTTGTCATTAAAGTTCAGATATTTTTAGTAGTTGGCTGGTGCATCCTGTTTATTATTAGCTGGACTATGACGTGGGCTAGGTGATGTGCTGTCATCCCTTTCAACCTATATTGTTGTATTAGTCTGTAATTTCAGATTTAAATATCACCTGGGAAACATCTGACTTGCATTTTAAGTGCAGTTTTGATTGATTCTATTTGGAGAATCATCTCCAAATAGAAGTTGAAATACTAGAGAAAGTAATGCTTCGGTTGACAACTAGGTTTGTGCATAATTCAGTTAAATGTTGGTATTCTTTTGGAATAAACAGCTGATGTTCTTCTGATATGGGTTGTTAATGCATATGTGTTTTGAAATTCTCTTTATAGGCCTATTGGCGTTCCTGTGCCATGATCATGGCATGTGTGTTAAAGCGAGCATTCAAAGATGAGTATTCAGTGAATCTGATTAAAGCTCCAGAAGTGCCAGGTGATATAAATGTTTTATATGATTGTCTTGTCTTTTGCTGCTTAAGTGTATGTCTAATGGTGTTACCAAAAAAACCCCAGAGGCTTCTTTTCCAATGATGAAAAGTACTTGGCATTGGTATGTATATTACATGCTGTTGTCATAGCCTTTATTTATAGTAATCACACTGAAAACAATTTTGTTAGCAAAGTACAGAAAATTGTTCTGTGTGGTAACTGGATTTCATAGGTTAAGTTAGTAACTTAAGGACATAACCTTTTTATTGTGAAGTTACATGAGTAAGCTGTTTAGATGTGATGGGTTTGTTAAATTTGCTCTAACTGCACAATCTTGTGAGCACTTGAGTTGCTAAACATTACAATGTATACATAAAGTTGGAAGATTATTAAAGTACAAACAGGGTTAGTAACAACCTTTGCTCATCTGTAACCTGGTTTAAGACTTACAAAAGTGGGAAAATGCACAAGAGAGGAAGTTACTTATATAACAAAACCTGCATGATTATGCATTTGATATGCAAGAAGGATGGTTGCTGGTCGTGTGGAGTCCTCCTTTAACTGATTCCCTTTTTAGAAATTTCAGCATTTGTCTTGATTCATAAGTGTAGAATGGATATTTCGATTCTACCAGGATTTGGAATAATCTTGCATATACTAAGCTATATCATGATACTATATGTATAAAAATAGTGTGAGCTTACTGGGCTCACAAGCTTGATTTGATGGCAATAACTGAAAAAATATACACAAAGAACATTCTAATGACTGCCACAGAAATTTGTGTTACCTTTATCAGAAATTCGTGCCATGCTTGTGTCATGGATAGGCATTTTACTTCAGCTCTAATACTGTCTGATTTCTCAGTGCAATAAATTCCTCTTTACAATTTCATACTGCAAATTTACTTTTAGTGTATGATGCATACAAAGGAAAAAATGTTGAATGTTTTCAAAGTCGTCTTTTTTTTCTTTCAATGTTATATGCAGTTTTGGGAAACAGTATAATTTTTTTTTAATCTCTTTAGTGGAGTTGTGTTATACTCACATTACATTAAAACTCATTTCACCTGAGTTTCTTATTCTGTGAAATGAAATTAAAATTATACAGATTTAATCTGCCATTTAACTGTATAATCACAGCTGAAAATTTATGATTAATTTCTTGAGATCATTCTGGTTTTCTTCTCACTCATTTTGTTATATTTATAAGAATATATTAAGAATGAAATACATACTTTTTTACAAACATTAATATTTTTCTCTTTTGAACTGAAATTGCAGTGATCTCTGGAGCTTTCTGTTATGATGTGCTTTTGGACAGTAGACTGAATGAATGGAAACCAACAAAAGTAAGCACTGTGACTTCTTGCCCAAAAAGTTATATGACTTGCATCCTTGTCCAATGGTTCTTTTTTAATGGGCGAGAGGGGGCAGTGAGGTTTGTGTTGGGTTTTGGGGGGTTTTTTTGGGTATTTCTACATTAATATTTTTTTTAGGATAGGAGTACTCCTTAGAAACTAATCTCTGCATTTACCACATATTGGCTCTCATTGCAGCGTGTTCTCAGAGCACACAGACTGTGTTCCTTTCAGGTGAAATTAAATATTGAGCTGTCCTCCAGATGCTTATAGGTTTTAGGTCTGTGGGGCTACACTAGTTCTTGTCTGAAATACAATTCCCAAAACAGTTGATGTGGCTGTTGGGAGTTCAGTGCCATCTTTGTTACTATACATATCTGTGCCTACTCAGCTGCTCTTGCCTGGTAATGTAGATGCAAATGAAGCCTTTGTGTGAGTAGAGCCATCTGAAAATAAAAATGTGTGTAATATGTGTATTTTCATCTAGTGGTTTACAGCATAATCAGTTTGTTATTGAAGAACTATGAGCACATTCAGCTGACGCTGTCCTTAATACCTTGCTTATATTTCATGCTCTTCAGTAAATCTAATAATCTAAAATCTCTAAGTCTTGTAATAGTTTGGTAGCTGGTGTCATCACAAATATTTTACTCATCTGGTGCCTATTCTTGTTCTCATGCTCAAGTATCAGCAGAGGTGTGTATGGCTAGCAAAGCGATATTGGTACAATGCTGAGTTTTTCATCAATATGACCTTGTAGTCGAAGTAACTTAGTTTGAAATATTTTTTGTGTGACATTATAAATGTAATTTTTCCTAATAACAATTTCTTATTTATCAATAAATCTGAGTATGCAGAGCTTTGGATTCCTGGACCAACGTGATCAATTTATATTTATTAGTTATTTGGTACTTTTTTCCTTTGATTCTATCACAATAGTGGTCATTTTAAGTGGAGTCGTGACTCTTGGAAACAAGATACACAGATTAATATTTAACAGTAGCAAGGCTGTATGTGTATATATCATGTTGGGAAAACCTGGGAAGTTTAACTTCAATTAATATGTATTGTTTCTGATGAAAAAATGCCTATTGATTTGACTGGGCATTGAATCAGTCAATTTAAACAGTGATGATATGTAGCAATCTGTTGGTGATAAATAGTAAGAGTTACAGTGCTACAGCAATGTTCTTACCTTTAGAGTTTATAGTAGATGATCCTTATTGTTTTTACTAATATTTAGTGTTTCCTATGCTTTGTCTATTCACTACAGCTGTGAAACAGTGGTGACAGTTTTATATGTCAACTGTTTTTTAGGACAACTTCCATTCTCTTACAAGGGATGCCAGAAAGCTAATTGATAAAGACCTACCATTTGAAACGCTGCATGTTGAAGCAAAAGTAGCACGTGAAATGTTTCAACATAACAGGTAAGTGTCTGAATTTGCCTTTCTTTTAGAAAGGCAATTAGAAAATAATTTAAATCTCTGCTTGGTTTTGTAAATCTAAAATAAGATGTGACAGATGAGGTAAGAAGTTACTTCTCCCACTATTCTGAGTGAACGTGCCTCCATTCTCTTTGTCACTCTACCTTATTTCATTTTCGATATCTCTCCAGAGGCCAACACCTGGAACTTTTGCTGCATGTAGTTTTGTGACAAATGGAAAGACTGTAGACTTCTTAGTGAAATCTTGAAGCTCACTATTAAACTACTTTTAAATTGAAGCTCTGGTGCTTAGACTTGGCATGGTTGTTCCTCTCAGCGTTTGTTGAAAGGCTTTCCTATTCACAGAAATGTAGATTTTTCATATCTTGGTATCTTCAGATGAGGATTTGATGCAGTGGAATTTTTGAGCTCTGCAGGGGGAAAATGGGTAAAATACGCTGGCCTGTGCTATAAAAGAAGACTTGTTTGAAACATTCCAGTTATCTTAGCTGAAAAAACCCACTTAAGCAGTGTTTTGGGAAAAAATTCTCTGGTCCACAGCTTTTTGATGGTTGGGTGGATGATGGAGGAAGTGATAAATGATTTATAATTTTGTGATCCAAAATAAAATTATGCTAAAGTTGCAAAAGTAACTATTTTTTTAGCTTAATAATGAGGATGATATTAATGTGACATACAGGCTAGCATCTCTTCACTATGATAGCTGGCAAGCGTTGACAGCAAGTGGGAGCTGACTTTTGTTAATAGCTTTACACTGTGTGTATGTTTGTGTGTGTGTAGAAAGAGCAGAAACACTTTGCTGTCTTGCAGATGACCAGCTGTTGAGGACTACACATTTAATGAAATCAGTTCAGCTGATCTGATAGTGTCTTCTAGTCTTACATGTGACTTGAAAAACTCTTATTTTTATTTGAAGTGGTAGGTTTGTTTTATCTTTCTGAATAAAACTTTGCTGAGAGAGCATGGCCCTCCTATAACATATACATACAATAGAATAGACTATTTCAGTTGGAAGGGACCTATGATGGTCACCTAGTCCAACTGCCTGACCAATTCAGGGTTGACCAAGTTAAAGCCTGTTATTAAGGGTGTTGTCCAAATGCCTCTTAAACACTGACAGGCTTGGGACATCAACCACCTCCCTAGGAGGCCCTTTCAAGGGTTTGACCATCCTCTCAGAAAAGAAATGCTTCTTAGTGTCCAGTCTAAGCCTCCTCTGGCGCAGCATTAAACCATTCCCATGCATCCTTTTACAGGATACCAAGTGGAAGAGTACCTCCTTCTCCACTTCCCCTCCTCAGGAAGCTATAGAGAGCAGTAAGGTTACCCCTCAGTCTCCTTTTCTTCAAACTAGACAAGCCCAAAGCCCTTAGCTGCTCCTCGGAGGACATTCCTTCCAGCCCTTTCACCAGCTTTGTTGCCCTTCTCTGGACACATTTGAGTACCTTGACATGCTTCTTAAATTGTGAAGCCCAGAACTGCACGCAGTACTCCAGGTGAGGCTGCAGCAACACTGAATACCCCAGGATAATTGCCTCTCTTGACTGGCTGGGTATGCTGTGGTTTGTGCAACCCCGGGTGGGGGT